CACTAAAAAAATAGATAATAATTATATTTTTAAAAATAAACCATATATTTTTTTGGTGACAAACGCAACAAATTAAATAAGTTAAATTATTGGATTGATCTAATTTTTTTATGGATGAAATAGACAAAATGTCCAACAAAATGAACGGTTCAGATTCGGAGAGGGGGTGCTGTTGTGCCTTAAGGCACAGCAGTTACTGTTGTGCCCTTTGCGGGAGATTTTTCCGAGTGTTTTTCGATGATCTGAACCGTTCATATTATAGAGTTCGTCGAGTAGATTATCGATACAAACATCAAGTTGATTGAATATCTGTAACTCTATAACCAAAGTACATTTGTTTCTATAAAAATTAACAGTTAACATAACTTCCATAAATTTTTAAAAACAATTTGGATCTAATCATGGGGTTATGAATATCCGATTAATTTGATTTCTTACATGAATAATATTCTTGACAAACTTTACAATATGAATGGTTTAGATTATCAAAAAACACTCGGGAAGACCTCCCAAAAGGGGGCAACAGTAACTGCTATGCCTTAAGGCACAACAGCACCCCTTATCCATTCAAATTATCAAAACGAGATCTAGACCCCACGGGTCCAAACAACGCCTTCCAATTCAAAATTCAGAGGGGATCCTACTCGAAAATTTTGATATTTCTCATCTATTTTTCCTTCTCTATAACTTTTCTCTCTCATGTGGGACTACTAATCAATCCTTTAAATCCACCATTAATGACAGACAAAGCATCACAACATTTGGAAGACCCTAATATTGTCGCCTTCCGAGGCTAGTCACACAAGGATGGTGACACACCACCAATCTCCTCCATCAGTCCGCTACGTTTTGCTCCCAACACTCACACCATCACACTTTTGGATTAATGTTTGGCAACTTAGAAAGAAAAAGAAAAAAAAAAAATTGATTGGGTAAATGATAAATGAAAGGACAATTTTTAAGTGTGGAAGTATATACCATATATACTTGTGTAAGTTCTATGTTGAAGTTACCTCACAAAATTACATAAGTTTTTACAAATATACGCAGGTTAATCCATAAAAATTTTAAAAATCACAACTTATGTATATTTGTGAGAACTTACTCAATTATGTGAGGTAACTTAAGTATATTTGTAAGAATTTACATAAATACATATGGTATGCACTTTATACACCCAAACCCTTCTCAAAGTGAAAAAGGAGAGAAAATGAATTGTTTGGATGGGAAAGATTATAGTACACATCCTTTAATTAAATTGGTATATATGGTATGCACCTTAAAACTAAAGAAGAAAATAATATAATTTTATATTTTCTGGATTATAAATTTAAAAAAAAATTATAATTAAACAACACATGAAACATAACCAAATACTTTCTTATTCATAACTAAAAAAAAGAAGAAGTTATAATCAAATATCATAAAAGGTATAATCAAAGATCTTATGAGTTATAACTAAAATAATGTCATAATTAAAAAAGAAAATTAGTCATAACTGAAGAAAAAAAAATATTATCACTTAAGAGTGCATATGGTAGGAGGTGGTGTGTAATAGAATTTCTATATTGGATAGATAAGAGAGAAAATAAAATAATGATATTATTATATATATTTTATCTTCTTTGGTTAAATTATATAAAAGAAATGAAATGATATAAAATTATATTACTAAATTAATCTTTTATAAGTGCTAGTTTTTTTTTGTTTGTTCTATATTTAAAATGATAATTTCCATAACAAAATAATATTTGTTTGGTTTTATTTTTCTTCTAATCTCTCCACTTTTGAAGAGAGTGAAAATAGTAGATTATCAAAGAAACTTGTTTCTCTTTGTTTCTTTCCATTTATCTCCTATTTGGTAATCCAAACAAGTGATTAAAATTTATTTCTCTACATTTAATTTATTTTCTCTCCAAATCACTCAAACCAAACAAATTTTGAGATAAAAGACGTCCACTTGTTTTGTTTTTATGGCTCGTTTGGTAATTGATTTTTTTTTTTTTTGGAGTTTTTTTTTAATTTTTTTTACAAAAACACATATAAAAAAGTATAGAGATGAATGTAACAATTTGTAATGACTTTTTAATTTTTCTAATAAAATAGCCTATTAACAAACTAGGCTTTAGTTTTAAAAGTATTTTTGAGTTTTTTTTTCTTTGTTGGTCGAATTTTGTTATTTTTAATGAATTTTTATTTTTAGATACACCTTGTCTAAATATATATAAAGTAAAATATTTTAAAGAAATACAAAAAATTAATAAATATAAAAATGTACTGAATTTATATTTTTTTAAAACAAATTTTATACTTTTTAAGTGTAATCAAATTATCTATTTGTACATTGTTTTGATAATAATTTTTTTTAATAAATTTTTAAATGTGTTGTGTGTTTATCGAATGATCGTTTAGCACTAGTAATGATAGTAAAAATTTTATCAAAATAATAAGAGATTGGGATATTTTGACTTTGTTTATGAGTTTTTTTTGATAAGCAAAAAGAAACAACTTTATTGATATCAATAAATGGATTACATCAATAAAGCAAGGGCGAAGAGTATCGAACATCATAGTGTTACCCTTCATCCCAACTAGGTTGGCACCAAGAGGAACACCCAATCATTTGAGAGCTCACGCCAAACGGTTGGCAAGATACCAACACCATAGAAGAAAACAAAACAAACAAAACAAAGAGGACACAAAGACCAAACAACAATAATAAGTCTACCAAAGAACAGCATATAGTAGCAGCACAATAGTTGAGCTATCAAAACCAACCCAACAGCAGAAACAATACCAAGATAGCAACAACATTAGCACACCAGCACACACCACTGCCTTAGGGTCAATCGATAGCAAGACAAAACAGCCCCATGCTGCCTTTGGGACCACCCTGCAACCATCAATCACAGCACCAGATCTCAGTAACTGCAACATAATTGAGCAGAGTCTTAACCCCCAGAACAAGACAACTCAACCCAGCAGCGACTTCAACTGATAGGCATATTTCGAATTTGCTATAGGTTATAGATAAATTCCTGAATTGAGTAAAAGCACCCCTTGAAGTGATCCTTGACCCAGAATGTACTACAACAAAATTGAATTTTCACGGCTTGCAATGCATGCCGTAAAAACTCTTTCACGGCATGCATACAAATGCCGTTATATGACATGCCGTGGAAAGTTGAGCATCATTTACGGCAAAAAGGTAAAGTTGTAAAAAGTAATAAATTAAACATTAATGACATACTTTGTATGTCGTATATAATTTTTTACGTCATTTTTTACATGCCATAAATCATTATATTTTTCATGGCATAATTTTGCATGCCGTAGAAAGTTATTTTTAATCTATTTATAGCATACTTTGTATGCCGTATATAATCTTTTACGACATTTTTTTACATGCCATAAATCATTCAACTTTTCACGACATAATTTTGCATGCCATAAAAAGTTATTTTTAATATATTTATGACATACTTTGTTTGCCATATATAATATTTTACGACATTTTCTTGCATGCCATAAATCATTACAGTTTTCACGACATAATTTTACATGTCGTAGAAAGTTATTTTTAATATATATACACACACACAAGAACACAACCTTGCTTAGCCATATGCACCGCCAAACAAAGGCAGTAGCTTATAAAGTGCGGCAACTTGTGAACAAATCAAGCAGAAGCAGCAACTATGAAGGAAAAAAGCTAAGATCCACACACCAAACAACCAGCATACTAGTCAACTTCTATCATGTCAAGCTAGTAACAACCTCACATATGTACAAAGAAAAGTATCCAAATCATATGATTCACTAATTTTCAAAATATGATTTTAAATATACAACTCCACCTATTAATTTCTTGGGGGGAGGGGGGACACAATTTGCATAAATAAAACAGAAACAAATCAAAGAATATATCATTGGTATTTTACATGGTTCAAAAACTTATACATCACAAGACCAAGTAAAATAAAAAGTTGCATCCTTCAAAGAAAACATGCATTGTTCTAGAAAATTTGAATGGAAAACAAAAAAAGTACAAAAGAAAAGAAAAGCAAATAGATGCATCAGATTCTTAAATACCAAAAAAAAAAAAAAAAAAAAAAAAAAAAAAAAAAAAAAAAAAAAAGAAGAAGAAGAAGAAGAAGAAGAAGAAGAAGAAGAATTTTGGCTTTTGTTTCACAACCAAAACTACATCCCAAGAATCAACCTTTGGCACACTGATTCTAGCTAGAAGACGGAAGACTCCCACACCCAATCCAGCAATCCTATTCCAGAATAAAAGATATCACCAAAAAACAAAAAAACTCCATAAACGAACAGAAAATCAATAGCTTCAACAACATATATATATATATATATACATACCTCAAAAGGTGATGGATTGAGTTAGGATCAAGGCAAAGAATAGTAGCAGATCCTGCAAATCACACAGCACACTATTATATGTCACACAAGCAATAGAGAGAGAAAGAGAACTATGGCAATTCGAAAGCAAACAGAACATTAATCAGGGAAAAAAATACCTAAAAGAGATGGATTGTGTATTGTTATATAGAGAGAGACGAATCATTTTGAACCATCAAAGAGGCGATCCGAGTTAAAATGAATGGAAAAACAGAGAGAGGGAGAGATCTGAGAGAGAGAATGAGAAGAAGATAGAAGTGCATAAATGATATTTCAAATGAATATTACATCAGATGTTGCTATGATATGATAGTGTATGGTGTATTGTACTCCATGATTTATATCAATATTACAGAATAATTATCAATCATAGCATGAACTCTATGCTCTATTTTCGATTTATTGTGTGTGAAATTCAGTATCTAACAACCATATCCAACGCATAATTAGGCACAAAAAAAGATATAAAGGAAAAAAGAAGCAATACCAGATGCAAGATATAATGGAAACAGTTACTAATTAATATACCTGTTCTAGTGCATCTTTGCTGACTTGATGCATTTTACCTTCACCGTCAATATAAGTCAGAGCTATTCGCTTATCAGTGGGGTTAAATGGAAGGAAGTGAACCTCTTGAATGCCAGCCTGTGCCTTAGTTTTTAGTAGAAGTCAAAGAAGAAAAATAGAAATACACATTAAATGGAGAATTGATAACAAAAGTCATTCAGAAGGAAAATCTCACTCAATATTATGGTGCATTTGTTTCAGCTATTCAGAATCAGAAGCGTAATTTTTTTTTGCACCCCCATTCTATGTAGTAGAAAGTTTGTATACTAATTAACACACCTCTTTTGGATCAGCCAACGTCCCGACAATAGCAGCGTCTATTGCATCTTGGTTTTCCACTCTTGAGGCTCTAGCAGCCATCAAAACTACAGCCTCTCCATCTACTCCTCTAGCAAAGACCTATGAGAATACATCCAGACAAAAGGTTGGAACATGAACTACATTACAAAATTTAGAAATTCAATCTGAAGCAAACAATCCCCCAAACAACCTCAATAATACTTTTGTCAACAGTCAGTCAGTTCAATGTTAGAGTTCCTGTTTTGTCACTGCAAAGTACAGCCATGCCTGCCATTTCTTCGATTGCTGTCATTCTTTTTGTGATGGCTCCCTACAATAATAAAGAATGAAGATGAGCTTGTACATAGTACATAGTAACACGCCTCAAACTACAATCAAAGTATTGCATTAGTACACCCCTCCAATCAAATAATGAAGGGGTTGTGTTTATATATATAGATGCATGAGGGTTCTTGTTTTCTGGACTATATAACTATTGGCTATCTTTGAGATTGCACCATTTGTTACCATAATTTCTGCCTTATGTCCCCTCAACAAAACCATCAAAGTTCTCAAATAGAGCTTCATTGCCCCCTGTGGAACCATTAATTCCATCTCAAAGCCAGCCCTATTCTCCTACAACTTAAAAGGGATATCTCTCTCGTCTTGTGGGTTTTCAAAAGACTATTGATTAATTGTCGCTCTTTTGTCTCTTGTTCTGGTTCATGGTTCCTCAAGCCAACCCCCAAAAATCTAAACACAAATATCAATATCAACTAACAATCAGCACATACAAGTATCAATAGTACTTTATTACTTCTGCTACCAAGTCATCTTGGCGTATAATAATTAAGATCCAATCAATTAACATAACATTAAAGTACCAAATATCAGCAATCATTTCTTATCCATAGCCTACACCAAAAACTCACAAAGAGAATTCCCCTAACAATGCAAGCTTGCCTATTCAAAGATTAGAAATTACCGTCACAAAGAGCAAGCTTAACCTTCCTTCCCTTGCATTGTTTGAAAGCAAAAAGCTCGTATATATCAATCTCTGCTATGTGATTCATGGAACCTATGTGACTGTGAATCTTAAATGCATCCCCATTATCACATTAAAATGCTTATGAAATCTAAAGAACAAATCATGAATGTTCATGGAATATTTTTTTTCTTTTTTAATTGGTAGAAAAATATGAAAAGAATTACATTCGGAATTATAGTCCAATAGTTGTAAAAACTCTAAAAACCAATCTAATAACTAACCAAGTTAAGAAAGAACACCATAATGGGGATATAATAAACAATACAACAAAGACTATCATAATTATTAAATTTAACATTAAATATTGCATAATTAAATATGATACGATGAGATATAATACAACAGAAATAAAGACAAGAAATGGATTGTTTACTCTTAACAAATAAAGATAAGCTTTTTAATTCTAAATTAAAGAATTCAAAATGAATCAAATCTTTCCCAAGGTAGATACATTTGATCTTCATTTAGAAAAAAATAAAATTAGTAGTCTTGTTATTAAGTATAAAGCTTTTCCCACACTTTATTTATATGCAACATATACAAATTTTTCCTACCAACTTTTCATCTAATCACCAAGAGAAAACAAGCATTAAAAAGTGACTACAGAGAGAAAATTTGTAATCTGCTCCACATTTGTTGGTGTGAAGGTTAAATTAGCTTTTGGTGTGGAGACTAAAGCAATAATAAAAGGTGGTATTCTATTCAACCATAACTACATGGCTCCAATAGAAAAGCAGTGGCCTAACCACAAGGAAAATTCAAGCATAAAAATAGAAACAAAGAACAGAGCAAAAAAGGAAAAAAGAAGAACATTGAAACCCCCTTTATGCAAAGATTAATAATTAACATTTTGTCATAACTCAATTTGAACACAAAACAACCTACAAAAAAGCTGAGAAGATTTTCATCTTCTTATAAGGAAATTCCTTTTTCATACAAATTTTTGCCGATATTGTTTATCAACAGAAAAATTGAAACTGGACGTACAAGAAAATTATTCCATAGAAAATTCTATCACAATGAAGTAGATATAAATTCTTCATAGATACAAACTCTAAACATGAAATTGAAATGGAATGCAACTTAATAATAGAGAGAAAAGGTTAATAACATAAAATATTTTTTATGATTTTAACAGCAAAACCAAGCATATTTAGGTGAAATCATTATGAAGTTCAAGAAGAAGAGATCAAATTGTTCAGGTGGGAATTTATTACCTAGGTTAGAGGCCAAGAGGTTGAAAGAGAAGCAATTGATCATCTGTATCATGAAATAGACGTCGAACTCGGTGAAAACAATTTCCTTCTGATAACGTAAAATCTATCTGTAGATACCCCATTTTTGACCATCCTCAAGACTTGGACGTCATCGTTTGAACACTCGATGATTATCCATGTTCGTGTTCGTCTTGAGTTCTCGGAGGTTTCAATCGCGCGCCTTGCCTCAAGACCTCTCGACTTGTCTGTTTTGTGCTTGGTTGTGGACCAGGCACTTGAGTTTTTGCCTCTGAGGGTAGGAAATGGCTTGTTGGCCATCCCCACACCTCACCAGCCATGGCTTGAGGCCACCGGCCCTGTTTTATTGCCATCGGCCATTAGTGATGGCCGACTGGCACTATTTTTGGTCGACTGGCCATTTGTTTTGGTCGATCGGCCACCTTTTCTGGCCGAGCCCTTTTCTTGAGGAGGTTTGAACCTTTTGAACCCCTCATTTTAGCTTATTGAGGAAGCTTAAACCTTTTGAACCCTTGGTTTTAGCTTCTTGAAGAAGCTTGCACCTTTTGAACCCTTGGTTTTAGCTTCTTGAGGAAGCTTGAACCTTTTGAACCCTTACTCTAGCTTCTCCAAGAAGCTTGAACCCTTGTCTAGCTTCTCCAAGAAGCATGACCCTTGCTCTAGCTTCTCCAAAAAGCTTGCACCTTTTGCTCTAGCTTCTCCAAGAAGCTTGAACCTTTTACTCTAGCTTCTTGGAGAAGCTTAAACCCCCTTTGTTCTTCTATAAGAGGGAGCCTCTCCCTCATTAGTAAGGGTTGAAGAAAATTGCTAAGGCAAGAGACATACATATCTTCCTATATCTCTCTACTTTGAGCTCCAAATTGCTTGGTTCTTAGCCCATTTGCACACCAACTCTTAGCCTAACACCTCCATCATCAACCTAAGGATCTTGGAGGCCATTTCCAGAGGTTGAAGGTCAGGTTTTTGGGTCTCAAAGCCGCTGGTTTTGCTGAAGCTACAAGGGTAACACACTTTACCCTCTTTTGGTCTTTATCTTGCTTCATCTTTTAGCCATACTTTCAAACATTTTCGAGCTTTGTCATAAACTGAAAAAAATCTTATTCTGAGCTCCTTTTGAAGTTTGTTTAAGAACACTTTTGTGTTTGGGGTTGTTTACCCCCTCTTAGGCCTTGTTTGGCCTCATTTTTGTGCCTTTTTTGTGAGCTTCGGGACCACCTTGTATTGGCCTTCCCACCACTGAAATCCATCCAGAGGGATTTTAGTGGTGGGGATGGTGTTTTGAGGTCCTAAGAAGGAGAGGGGTGATCCTCTCCTTTGTTGTCTTATTTACTAGCATTTTTGGCCCTTCAAAGGAGCCCTTATTTGCACACTTCCTGAGCTCGGTTCAGGCATTTTTCAGTGAGTTTTAGGCCCTGCTTGAACCTTTTCCAGAGCTTTTTTTGTCATTTAAGGCTTGCCTCTTGCATGTGTAGAGCAACCCCTTGCATGGCCTTCCATCATTTAAGGCTTGCCTCTTGCATGTGTAGAGCAACCCCTTGCATGGCCTTCCAAAGGAGCACCTCATTCTAACATGTGTTGACCATGTTGCAGTGGGTTTTTGGGCTTTATTTGGCATGTTATAGCTCTGACTTTTACTGGTTTAGTTGGCTCTCACATGCTTCATGTACTTGCTTTGCAAATCCTCCCATTTGCCTTAACATTCACCTTGTGTTTAGACCACCATGCTTACATGTTTTGGCTTAACCTCATGAAGATTTTAGCTTTGTTTTGCCATGCTTGAGGTTTGGTTTTGGTTGTTTTGATCATGTTTTCCATGATTTGTATAGCCATCATGCATTTTAGCTTGCTAGCTTTGGGTGTATGGGTCACTAGCATGCTTTACTTGGCTTATTCTCGTGATTTGGCATCATTAGAGATCATATTTCAGTCCATGTTTCATTCTTGTATGCTTGCATTTTCCATCCTTTCAATGCTTTGAAAAGTTGATGTCTTATGCTCCATGTTTAGGCCCTTGTGTATGCATGCTTGTGTGTGTGTTTTCATTCCTTTGTCGCATCATTTTGGCCGCTGATTTGGGCCTATTTGAGAGCTGCCCATATTGGTTTAAGACCATCCCTTGCATGTTGTTGCATGCTTGCCTTGCATGTTGTTACATACTTGGCTCATTAACATGTTGTTTCATGTTTAATTGCATTTGGCATGCTTGAATGATTACATATCTTGTCCCTTTACATGTTGTCACATGTTTGCCTTGTATGCTTGAATGTCCATGTTGCATGCTTGAGCTATATTGCATGGTTTGGCATGCTTGTTGCATTGCATTTTGCATGCATGCCTTGCCTCTTGATCAACCATGATAGAGGTTGGGTCCTTTATGTGTTTTGTGTGTATTCCATTTGACATTGAAATTGCATACTTCGGCTCCCTTGGCCATCATGCATCGAAATGCGTGATTGGTGCCCCGAGGACCGAGGGCTACACTCCCTTGAGTCCATAACATGATGGGGAGGGTGGTCGTGCAACATTTTGCTTTGAAAATCCTATGACATGCGCTGTCTGTCCTCTGTTGCAGCAAAACCAGTGTTCTGCAGGAAGAAATGGCCGGTCTGCTACTTGCAGTGCCGACCAACCACCAAAATCTAGCCAGTGGCTTCATTAGTGGTCAATGATGAGTTACAGATGGTCAGTGGCATTTCCATTTGGTCGATGACCTCTCAGCATGTCTCTAAGGCAGTTCAGAAGTGTCATAGAGGTTGGCACTATTTTCAGAGATGCAAAACAGTGCAGACAGAGGCAATTGTGTCATGGCAATGGATTTCCGGGCGAAGCCAATCTGAGCATGCGTGCATTCCTCTTCCTGAGGCCTTTTACTGCTTTCCATAGCTTAGTTAATTTGTTTAACTAGTTAAGTGTTATGTAATATTTCATCAACTAGGTTAGTTAATTATTTATTCGGTTTGTATTATTTATTCGGACCCTCCGAGTGAGGGCAATTGTGTATTAAGTGTGCGTGAGTGTGTGTATGTCTTCCAACCCCACGTCTTTCTTCCCTTTTATTTACTAGCTTT